CTGATGGTAAGTAAAGCCGTTTCCTTCCTCCAAAGGCTTTTACTCCTACTTAGAGCTTAATGCAATTAAATTGCGACTTCTGAGACCTTATGGTAGAAGCGTGTGCATATGGGCAGGTGGCCATGGAGGCTTTGTGTGGACTTAGTAGAGAGCTACTCAGAGTGAAACAGGGTTAAAACCCTTTTCTAATGAAGGGAACAATTGTGGCAGATCACTGCAACGCTTGAAAGTTTAATAGGTGCTAACAAAAGGCATTGGTCTAGTCAGTTACATAGAATAATAAATACAATAGGCCTCTAAAAGAGTATATCCATAGAAGAAAAATGATAGTAACCTGATCTTAGTATATACAGAATATTGCATTCTGTTACTAGAAGAGTGAGGTCACATTTTAAATGAAGCAGTTGTAGGCGTAATTCTCCAACTGGTGTAACTGCATTGGGCCTGATTCTGATCTCTCACTGGATTTACACTCATTTAATTCCATTGACTTCAGTGGGGTTACTCCTGATTTTCACTGGTGTAATTGAACTTGCAGTCAAGACCACTGAATGCAATGGAGATACTCCTGATTTACACCAGTGTAGCTAAGATCAGAATCTGTGTTTGTTTATTGTAATCTGGAGGTAGTAGATGGATGGCGGGATGCATATACTGCCATGGTTTATCCAGTTGCACCATGTGTTGTGCTTGGATTTCTGGGCTGCTTAAACAATCTACTCTGCAGGCTTGTTCTTTTAGTCTGTGTTGCAAGAAATGCATATTGGTTGGTGGGGAGAGTCCATTAATGCGCAGAAGATGTAGACCTACCAGGCTTGCTATGTTTGTCTCTACTTCTTTTAATGTATTTTCTCTGTATCAAATTATTCAGTTTGATGCTCAGGGGTAAAAAAAAAATTTTTTTGCTCAAAAATGTTGCCTTCTTGAATGTGCTGGATTCCTGTTTTAATCCTCCACTTCAGTGGAGTGACTCTGGGTTTAATGGCTCCAGGCCTTAACCATGGTTAGGAAGATACAGAACAAGTGAGGTTTTTTCGCATGTAGAGCCCCTCTCTTCTCGCTTTTACCAGAGGGTAATGAGTTCATGTTCTGGTCTCACTGGGTAGAGAGGTGATGTAACTTGGTGTAAATTGGCAGAACTCTGTTAAAGTCAATGGAACCATGCCGACACCAGCAGAGGATCTGGCCGATTGTTTGTTTTGAGGTGCTGGGCAAAGACATCAATATGATTTAACCTTTGGAGTATTGACTTTATACCTCTGGGTCTAGATGATCTTGGAATCCTTTTCTAGTGAGTTTCAGGGATTCCAAGGCATGCTCATGCTGGAAGGAGAAGAATAGGAAAAAATGGTGGTGGTCTCACAAAGTGCGACTTGTCCAATGCCAGCTGGGTGAAACCACCTGGAGAAAAGAATTTGGAGGACATATGAGGATCACTGGGTATTCTTCTTCACACCGCTTTAGGAACTAGGGGCTGAATTTGAGTTGATGCTACTGTATATCAGGAGTGACTCCATTGATTTCAATGGAGTTACACTGGCATAAGTATATAGTGTCAGTTCAAGTGAACTCAGAATCAGGATCCTGATCTTTTCTTTTCTTGTGTTGGTAAAAAGTTTTTTGTTCTCCAATTTCTAAGCAGCTGTCAGGCACTCCTGGTATGCAGGAAGCGGGGAGGAAAGCAGGCTATAGGCAGGGAGAATTTTCAGACTAATGTCCTATGCCATTTCAACTATGTAATGCCTATTGTGTTTGTGTTAAAGAATTTTTGGGGGGGGGAGAGAGAAGGGGAATGCCAAAGATCCCAGGATCAGGAATTGTATATGCAACATTTTCTTTGTTGGGTCATCCCTTGTTTTCTATACTGAGAGAGATTTTGGCCAGATCTTGAGCTGCAGTCGGGGCAGTGTGGGTGAGAGTGCATGGGGATAGTCTTAAGCCATCTTTGTCCCTTTGGATCCTGGGCTGATCTGCGCTAGGCCTATTCCTCTAATTCTCCCCCACAGTGCAACTTAGACCATTTCTCTAAGGGCTGAAGGCTACTCTAACTTCTTCTGGCTGTTCTAGGCCTGTTCCAGCAGCCGGGGTTCAGTTGGGCATAAGGATACCCCAACAATGCTACCTTTCCCGTAGCCATGTCCCCTGCCTCCACCACAGAGAAGAGTTAGCAGTTTTACCTCGCCAAAGAAACCCACTGGCAGAGCAGCATAAGGCAGCTGAGGATCCAGATTCTGTCCTCTGCTCCAGCCCCTTTATGCTACTGGAGCAGCTGAGGGTTCTGGAATAACCAGCTGGCTATGTTAGGGAGGAGCACAGGGGTGTGCCATGGGTGTGGACAGCGTATGCTTTGCTTCAGTGAGCCCTGGCCATGGTAATGGCCCTGAGGGAAGGGAGCTTAGAATAGTGGAATTTGAAATAGAGACTGCTCTGGGGTTAAACTAGCCCTTAGCAGCCCCTGAGGCCGGGGGAGAGTCCTTCCTCTGGCTGCATCGAGTGGCTCTCTCTGATGCAGGTGAAGATCTGGCCTTTTGACTTGAGGGGAGGCCATTTTACTCTGAGGGCAAAGGGCCTGCTTTTCTATTTCACACTGGCTTCACGCTGGTCTGATTCCGTTGACCTTAAAGAGTTACTCTTGACTCACGCTGATGTGACTGAGAGCAGAACCAGGCCTAAAGGATCTAATTTTAGTGCCTCCATTCTAGTCCCTCCTTCTCACCCTTCAGCAAAGATAATTTGATTGGTATGCTGCTGCTGACCATATCTGTGCCCCTTGCATCTGTAACCCAATGGTGGGTGGGTGTTATGCTGTGCTGTTATGCAGAGAATATGAGTTGTTATAGCCTACAGCTAAAGCTCAAGCTGTAGCAGCTCATATGTTTAGCTCTGGAGGTCCCTGATTCAGTCCCCAGTGTGACAGCCAAGAGGGCAGTTGTCACACACTTGGCATTCCAGAGACACATGGAGTACGGTAGGCATTTAGTGTCAGCTGTTGGTGTTGGTGAGGTGATGGAAGAAACAAAAAAGCATGAACAATATCACCTCCCTACCCAGCTGAGGCCCAGTGGGACTTGCTGGGTTCTTTGGGTAGGTTTGCTTGTGATGATTAACAAGAAATGAAGAAGCCAGGTATTCAGAAGGCCCAACCTGTCTGTCCTAATATGCAGAGGGAGACTTGCCTGCACAAGGATGTCAGGATCATTTCTGTTTCCCCTTTAAGACCACATCTTGTCCAATCTCCTAGCTGGCAAAGGATGGCTGGATTTGGCTCCCACTGGAACCAACCAGCACCGGTCCTGAATCTGTAGGGAGCCACTCTAGAAATGATCATACAGAGGTGGTACCAGCAGGGGTTGAGGAAATGATCTAGATAACTACACGTAGCTTCCCTGTGGAGTACTGTATTATGCTGCTGTAAGGCAGCTCTCTTCTGGAGACTTCTCAAGGTGTATTTGGAATGGCTGATCACCATAACATGGTCAGGTTAAAAGATGGCTACTCCTGGTCATCTCTTTGTGCCAGTGTCTGGAGTGAATCCTTTTTTTTAACCCAGCTGCTCTTGTTTTATGCATTTAATGGGATATCTGAGGACAAAAACACTCACATGGCACTGGTTGTCAGAATGAAGGTGAGTTTATAAACTGGAGGAATAAAAACCTCTTCAAATGAGACCTATGGCGTGGGATTTGGAGGACAGGGTCATAATTCAAAATGATCTGGACAAATTGGAGAAATGGTCTGAGTTAAACAGGATGAAGTTTAACAAAGACAAATGCAAAGTGCTCCACTTAGGAAGAAAAAATCAGTTTCACACATACAGAATGGGAAGAGACTGTCTAGGAAGGAGTACGGCAGAAAGGGATCTAGGGGTTATAGTGGACCACAAGCTAAATATGAGTCAACAGTGTGATGCTGTTGCAAAAAAAGCAAACGTGATTCTGGGATGTATTAACAGGTGTGTTGTGAGCAAGACACGAGAAGTCATTCTTCCGCTCTACTCTGCTCTGGTTAGGCCTCAGCTGGAGTATTGTGTCCAGTTCTGGGCACCGCATTTCAAGAAAGATGTGGAGAAATTGGAAAGGGTCCAGAGAAGAGCAACAAGAATGATTAAAGGTCTTGAGAACATGACCTATGAAGCAAGGCTGAAAGAATTGGGTTTGTTTAGTTTGAAAAAGAGAAGACTGAGAGGGGACATGATAGCAGTTTTCAGGTATCTAAAAGGGTGTCATAAGGAGGAGGGAGAAAACTTGTTCACCTTAGCCTCTGAGGATAGAACAAGAAGCAATGGGCTTAAACTGCAGCAAGGGAGGTCTAGGTTGGACATTAGGAAAAAGTTCCTAACTGTCAGGGTGGTTAAACACTGGAATAAATTGCCTAGGGAGGTTGTGGAATCTCCATCTCTGGAGATATTTAAGAGTAGGTTAGATAAATGTCTATCAGGGATGGTCTAGACAGTATTTGGTCCTGCCATGCGGGCAGGGGACTGGACTCGATGACCTCTCGAGGTCCCTTCCAGTCCTAGAATCTATGAATCTATGAATCTATGAATCTTTTGTAACATCTGAAGGCTGTGGAGATGTGGAAAACTCTGAGCAGCAGCCAGCTCCAAAATGGAACCAGAGGAAGGTCTTTGGGAGTGCAGAACTGAGGAACTCTGCATTGGTATTAGCTGAAGGAACGAATGCTGGGGGCATGCGCTAGTTTTCCTGCATACTGATCTGGCTTAGCCTTTTTTACAGGCATGGTCAGGGTACTGGGAGTCAGGCCCCTTCCTGGCTCTGCTACTGACTTGGTGCATGACCTGGGGCAAATGACATAAGCTTTCTGTGCCTCATCCACCAATAGTAAAATGGGTATTATAACACCTACCTTGCAGGGGCATTGTGGGAGTGAATGTTTTTGTAAAGGAGTCTGAGCCCCTCGGGTGGAAGGTGCAAGAGGACTTACAACAATATTTGCTTTACAACCTTTGGTCAGAGTTGCCTTAACACCATGCATATCAGATACTTAACCAATGGGCAGCCTTCCATGGAACGATTCCCAATCAGCTTTAAAACCCACTTCTCAGGAAACTATTTTCATCATGTGGTGCTTGGGATTTACTGCAATGGCCGGTATGGGTCACTGGGCATGAGCAGAAGATCAGATCTGATGGACAAACCTTTGACCTATCGAACTCTGACCGATCTCGTCTTTGAATTTGAAGATTCCTATAAAAAGTATCTACATTCAGTCAAAAAAGTAAAAATTGGATTATATGTCCCACACGAGCCACACAGCTTTCAGCCCATTGAGTGGAAGCAGCTGGTCCTCAATGTAGCAAAGATGATGCGGACGGACATAAGGAAGGAGCTGGAGAAATATGCCAGGGATATGAGAATGAAGGTAGGTGTATGCCTTGGGAGTCTGGGTCTGATTTCGTTCACACTGGAGTAAATTGGGAGTAATTCTGTTGATGTTAATGGAGTTACACCAGAGTAAAACCAGTGTGAGATTAGAATCCGACCTGGTGTGTCCATCTAATCTGTCCCTCTGTGTGTTTCTCCTCAACTGTGTGTTGCATGTTTTCAAGTCCTTTTTTCAAGTTCAGGAGTAACTTTTTTATTTGTAGGATCTCTCCCTCCTCACCTGACATTTGTGGCCCAGAACTTCTCCTAGTTATAAGGGGTAAATATCCAGTCTGCTGTTAGCAAATAGCTTGCTGAGTCTTGAGCTTGGAAGAAAATCACTGAGCAGAGCTACTGACTCTCTGGTGTCTGGAGAGTCATGTGCATGCTCCAGTTGTTGGCCCGGATTCTCTGCTGCACCGACTTGCTGCTTGGGACAGCAAAGAGGTAGTCCCAGGCTGTCAGGGAACCAGAACTGGTTCCCTGATTCACTGCCCAGCCCCGTTGCATGTTACAGCAGTCTCAGAGCTGCTGTAACATGCACCTGCTGACAGTGGTCTCCAAGGGCCCAGCTGAGTATAACCAAGGGCAGCATACTCTGGCTGTGCCTCCTCTTCTGCAGTAGGAGTTGTGGGGAGGGAAGTGTAGGAACCAGCTATGCCAGCTCTTCCCCCACTGAGGATTCCTCAGAAGAGGAATTAGGATTATATTCCAACCTCTTTGTGCTGCCAAAGTCCTAACTGCCTTCCAGCCTGTTCTCACCTGTCGAGGGAGTGAGCCCTGTTGTGTGTTGGGGGCGGAGTGGGGAATTTCATTGTGGAAGGGACATGGTGAGGGCTCTGCGGAAGGCAGTTCTGTTATTTCAGTGTTTCTCAAACTGGGGTCGTTGCTTGTGTAGGGAAAGCCCCTGGCGGGCCGGGCTGGTTTGTTTACCTGCCCCGTCCGCAGGTCTGGCCGATCGCGGCTCCCACTGGCCGCGGTTCGCTGCTCCAGACCAATGAGAGCTGCTGGAAGCGGCGCGGGCCGAGGGACTTATTGGCCGCCACTGCCTACAGCGGCGAACTGCGGCCAGTGGGAGCCGCGATCGGCCAGACCTGTGGACGGGGCAGGTAAACAAACCGGCCCGGCCCGCCAGGGGCTTTCCCTACACAAGCAGTGACCCCAGTTTGAGAAACACTGTGTTATTTTCTCTGAGTCGTTGGGTTAAAGTATCACCTCCTGTGCCTAACTAGGCCAACAGGGTATTAGTTTGCAGTGGCCTCCAGTGGCACAGAAAAGTCTGCCAAGAGGTGCACTGTTTTCTGTATCCAATTAGAGACCTGAAATTAAGTCTGCAGAGGAGTTATATGTAAAGTACTATAGCTGTCTCCAGGGTCTCACGAGCATGTGCTGTCTCATGTGAACAAATTCTCCTCAGCAGAGGACTGGAACTGGCTTACCCCTTCACTGCATCTGGTTTGGAAGTTCTGCTAGAGTCCTCCCTTTCACTGATGGCAGCAGGATTGGTTCTCTGGTTTAGAATCAGCAACAGATTAGTTTTTCTTTGTTATTGTTTAATCCTTAGACTGCTGGCACTTCACCGTTGGAGAGTCAGATTGAAAAGCTTAGAGGACACTTGCAGACAAAGGTCTGCAGTTGCCAAAGAGTTGAGAATATGACTCCCTTTCTGGTTGGAGTTCCTGAATATGCTTCAGTGACAGCTGGGGGGTGAAGAGCAGGTTTCAGTTGCAGTGAAATTGGATTTGATGTCTCTCCAGCCATCTGTCGGCAGTTAAGATAAAGCAGGTGCAGTCATGAAGTGTAGGGCTGCTTCCCTTTTCCGAGAGGTATGTGGCATCATTTGTAAGTTCCTTCACGTGCCACTTCTGACTTTTTGTCTGGGCAGAGAGTACTTCTTACATGTGATGTGGTCTTACAGAGCCTGCCTCTACTGTTTCAGTTTGTGCACAGGCACTGGATAGCACAATGGAAAATGGGTGGTAAATCTGCCTGAACAGAGACTTCCTAGTGCTGCTGCTACAGCCCCCTCTCCTGCCACTGTCAAGGTACACGTGTGGAGGATGGGATGTGGGTCTGAAGTGACTGTCCTCATCCTGGCTTCTGTCCTCGAGCACTTTCCTCACCCAGATCATTCACCTCAAGTTAATGCCAGTGAGTTGTGCAGAGCACAGTTATGATTCCAAGAAGGCAGTGGAAGGGGGGGCCCTGCCTTCCTGAATGTAAATCTGATCGCATCTGGCTTGTCTGCAGGTCAGTCGGACAATGGAACCGATTCATGCTGGGGGTTATTCTTTGGAGTTACCCCAGGGGGGAGTTTGGCCTATTGTTAGTGTCTGAGATTGTCTGGCTTATTTTGAAACCTTACAGCTTAACTTGTCAAGTATCAGGAGGTAGCCGTGTTAGTCTGTATCTACAAAAACAACAAGGAGTCTGGTGGCACCTTAAAGACTAACAGATTTATTTGGGCATAAGCTTTCGTGGGTAAAAACCTCACTTCTTAACTTGTGTCATCGGCCAAAAACTCTGGGAGTTGGCAGTGCAGGCTCAGGTAAGCATTTGTGCTGTCCCACAGCAACACTGCAAAGTTCTACGTTGGCACCCAGCCCAATTCTAGCTGATGGGACTGTCAGGGCAGTTTATTTGCATTAAGCCTTTTAAACCTCAGAGGATATTGTAAGATACTGAATGTTGGTTTTTAACAGATAATCAAGGGCCAGAACCTGCTTGCTTTACTTCCACGAGGAGTCCCATTGAAACCAGTGCTGATTGCACAGTGGAGTCAGTGGGGCTCCTTGCAAGAGTAAGGACCAGCAGGATTCATCCCCTAAATGTAAAGTCTCCAAACGTGCCTGCATGACGGAAGGGGAGAAAACGAAAAGCGGTTGCAAGAATTGGAGCAAGACCCGTGTGAGAGAGCACATCCCTTGTTCAGTGTGGAATGTACAGTTTGGTATGTGCGGATCTCACTCCATGCACATCTTTGCCTTCATAATAAGGTCTTGTATAGCAGTTTTCATTCGTAGCTCTGTGTTTTACAAAGGAGGCAAGCACCATCATCCCCATTTTATAGAGCTCAATGTTGTTCATCCACACTTTCCTATGAAGCTCCTTCATTTAAAAAAGGGGGGGAAATGTAACAATAAGGCCAAGGCAATGTTTGTGGAATTTTTAGCTTGAGTGAATGTAGTGCTTGTGCAAGCAAGGGGCTAACAGTGCAGGTCTCGGCAATATATAGTATTTGCAGGTGTCACAAAAGCTCGCACGTACAGCTTTGCCAGTGGACCCCCCATGCCAACCTGCAGCACCCTGCTCTTCCACTCTCTCTGGTGGCTTATGCTGTGCACAAATAAGAGTCCAAATACACTAGGGAAATGATCTCTTGTTGACAGTGGGTTTTCTCAAGTCAGCTGAAACCAGTGTAGTTAAGGCCCCACTGTTTTCCTTCCCTTTACGGACAGAATGTGGTGTCTAGTGCGCACTAGCAGGTTTCCCTGTGATGGTGGAGAAAAGATTTGTCCCCGTCAACTCCAGTTAACAGGTTTGTTGACAATAGGTCATTTGCCTAATGTCTCTCAGACCCAAATGCAGGAAGAAATACCAGATAGATTTCCATGCAGGACCAAAGAACTAGGGAGCCATATTCTTCTCTGTTCCACAGATGTAAATCTGGAGGAACTCACTGACTATTCTGGATCTACACTGATGTAACTGAGAACAGAATGTCTCCAGATGTGGAAAACAAGTGTACTGTGACCCTGCACTTCTGTAACACACACTAAATCTTTCTAGTGTTCATGTTCAAACATGGGGCGAGATGAACTGCTGCACTTTGAGTCAGTCCCACTGTGATCACTCACTATGCCATGGGGATGAATGGAGTGTAATCTGCCACAGTAGAACCACTATGATTTATGCCAGCTGAGGAACTGGTCCACTATTTTTTGCCTAATCTTTAAAAGATGGCTATTCCTTATGGGTTTTTTTAGATAGGGAGAAGAATTAGATCCATTATTCTCTATCATACTGGAGTAAATCAGCAGTTACTCCCCTGAAGTTGGTAGAATTAATGTGGTATAAAACTGTGCTAAGTGAGATGAAAATCAGGCCCAATGATGGTATGAAAGCCTTAGGCTGAAGTTATATTCTAATTTTAGTGTAACACGTTTAATTGCATATGGAATTAGAATGATTTCAGCCTTCTATTCCACATTTTTAATACCAGATAGAATGCTAGTATCTGAAGTATATTCTGATCAAATAAACAAGCATAGATTATTTTTATTGCATATATGCATTGAGCTCTGACATTGGACCCAGCCCTTGTGCAGAAGATGGAAAGACATAGTCCTTACCTTGAGTGTTACAATTTCAAAGCCCTCATCCTGTGAAGACTTCAGCACACGCATATTTTGAGTAGCCTCATTGGGTGAAATCCTACTTCCATTGAAGTCAATGGCAAAACTCCCATTTGTTTCCGGGGGGGTCAGGATTTCACCCATGGACTTCTCTGGGGTGTAAAGTTATGCACATGCTGTCTTTTGCAAGATCAGGTCCTTGCAAAGGTGTAAGGTTATGCACATGCTGTCTTTTGCAAGATCAGGTCCTTAAAATAAAAAGTGGTGTGAATGTAGTGCTGATGAAAGTCATCAGCCTAGAGGGACTCTACCCAGATGTGTGAATGGACAAGGGATGGGGAAGAAGGCCCCCTGATTGCAGAGAATCCAGCTGACAGCCCTTGAGACTCAAGTTTTGTATTCATCCATAGAACAGTTCCAGGAACCGTTTTGGCTGTGCAAGCTTCCCTTCATGCTGCTACCACAATGTGCCTTACTGAGTTGAGGGCAACCGCCCCTAAGGGGACAGGGTAATTTGTTTGCCGTCCCATGATCTCTCTGCTGAGACTGCTGACTAGAAGGCCAGTTGTGGTGATGGTTTTTGTATCTGGAAACTGGATTGAGGCCACCAATTTCACGACAGGGCACTGATGATAGCTTTCAGTCCCTCCCAGCCGGGGCAGGATTCAAATAAACCTCAAGAGACTACAGGCTCTGTGTCCCATCTCTGATCTCCAGTATTATCATGGGGTTTTTTTTTTTTTTTTTTTTTTTTTAAATGTTGAATAGGCCTCTTTATTCAGTGCCTCTCTTCCCTTCCTCCTTCCAGATTCTGAAACCCTCAAGTGCCCACTCTCCAATCAAAGAGAGATCACGAGGCAAGTCACTGTCCCCTCGCCGAAGGCAAGTCAGCCCTCAGAGACGGGTGTGTAGGAGAGACAAATCGTGAGTATTTCTGCTTTGCTACCGCTCATGTGTTCTTTTTGAGCTGATGCCCCATTCGTTGTTGAATCAGAAACTCAGCGTAAGGACACAGTAAAGCCAAACTATGGATTTGGAGGAATATTGGGATTCATCCGCCATAGCAGTTTCTCTATTTGTGTATGCTACAGATATTCTGGTTAACTCTCTGGCTCTAGCTGTCAGGGCTAATAGCATGGTGGTATTGTGCATGGTCTTTACGCGGTCTCTTAAAACAGAGCTGCTGGAGGGACAGAGTTTGTATCGTGGGCTCTATACTGCTAATGGAAGCTAATGGAAATTCTCATAGAGGTCAAGTGGTAAGGGTCTGTGCTTTTGGAGTCAGAGGATGTGAGTTCTAGCCATGTTGTTGTTGGAGTGAAGTTCTGAAAGGCCATGCTGTGTAGCAAAATGACACCTATGAAGTACCTATGTGGCCACAAATTAGTCACTATTTATGATGAGCACTTTTTAAGTAAGTTTCCAGAGGGACTGTTGGTCTAATTCTTTGTTAGCAGCTAAGAAAGAAGTTAGACTGACTTTCTAAATCTATCTTAATGCGGGTAGCAGCTGATGATTTAACAGCAGGTTTACATTTTACGTGTAAATTAATATTCTATCTGCATCATTATATTTTGGGCCCATCAGCAGGGGCTCCAGTCCTCATTTAGTGTCTGGATAATTATAGTAGTTAAAGGCCCTGCCACTCCAGGCACTTTCCCTTCCCATATACTCCTTGAGGGACATTTTCATCTTTGGGTTTCTAACACTGCTACCGCAGTTGTTCGAATGGCACAGATGCTCATTCTGGAGAGGAGTGTCAATGTTGCTGGCGTTACAAAGAAGCCTCAGGCTTTCTGAGAGCCAACTGCTGAGCAAGCGTCAGCTGCACAGCAACCTGCTCCCTTCTTATTGCTTAATTTATGTAATATGAAAGGACAAGTGAAATAAAAGTAGTCTAGCTTTGACCCACTGGAGTCATGTGGTGACTCCATGGTCTGCAGTGTCTGCATTTCCACGTGAAACACACACACCTGCCCGGGACCCTACTCTTGCACGGTGTTCTTTGTGCTCCATCTCTAATGGTATTACATATAGTAAAATAAAGCCTTGGACTGTATAATGACTTGTAACTAGACAGCAGAGCTGATTAGAGCAGGGAATTGAGACTCCTTGCATGAGATTTCATTCCTGCTCCGGCCCCACTAACTGGTGGGGGGGCTCTGAAGTTCTGCATCCAGCTATGGGGAGGATTCCCTCAGCACAGGAACAGGGAAAGACAGCTGTAAGACTGCCTTCTGAGCCTCCCCTCGCCCCCCCAAGCGCTGCCTAGGGGGCATGCAGCAGGAGGCAGTGTATTGGGGACTGGGCTGCAGCATGTAGTGCTGTAGAGATTCCAGGCAGTGCTGTGGTCCCCCAGGGCAGAGTGGACTTAGGGCATGTCTTCACTTTAACATAGTTGTGTAGTCGCGGCATATAAAAAAACCCACCTCCATGAGGGGAATAGCTCCCAGCTCTGTAGCACTGTCTACACTGGCACTTTACAGCATTGAAACTTGCAGCACTCAGGGGTGTGTTTTTTCATACCCCTGAGCAAGAAAGTTGCTGCGCTGTAAAGTGGCAGTGTAGACAAGGCCTTAGACGGATTCCATGGGAGAAAGAGGAGAAGAAAAGTCGCCAACTGTGATTAGGTTTGGAATGTCTTTATTTACATAGTAACTTTGGATGTTTAGCCTATTGACCTGAAGTCCGCCAGTAGCCTGCAGCTGCCATACCACGAAGGAATGGAATGTAGATTAACTGGACATACTATATGAATGCCATACCATTCAGCCTGGAATGTAGATAAACTGGACATACTATATGAGGAAAACCTCAAGAGCTGTATGTGCGCACACGGTGGCCTTCCTAAATCTGTGTGCAGTCTACCTGGGCCTTTCCACAAGGACCAAGCTGCAAGGGTTGATCTTGAACAGAGGCACCTTTCCACCATCAGAGAAAGAGAATTTCAAAAATGTTAAACGTGGATTCCTAAATCCATATTCAAGCACCTAAGTCCTGCTTTTCAGAGGTGCACAGTACTCGCTGCTGCTCATTGACTTCTAGGGGAGTTGCAGCCGCTCCTTTGGAAAGCAGGCCTCTTAGTAAAGATGCCTGGACATGCCTGGTTTAGGTAAAGGTTGAAGAAGCTGCTGTTAAATGATGCTCCTTCCCATCATTATACAGTCTGTTTACACTAGAATGTGATTCACTATAGTCACCAGGAGCCAGATTTTCAAAGGTGTTTAGGTGCCTAAAGATGAAGATAGACACGTAGTGGAATTTTCAAAAGCACCTCGACTGCTATCCTACTGATGCCTATCTCTGTCTTTAGGCACCTAAATATTTTAGTATCTGGCCTGTGGAGACTGACTTTGCTCTCATTTACACTGGGGTAAATCAGGAGTAACTAAGCCAGTGGAGTTACATTGGTGTAAAACTGATGTATGTGAGAGGGAATCTAGGCCTTGTTTTAAAACCACACTAACCCCTAGGACACTGACTGACTCGCAGTTATGGCAGCTTGGGCACTGGCCACATGCCTCTTTTCAGCCAAGCCATTGTGGAACTGCCCTGCAGATGGTTCTGATGCTGTAGATAGCCTCTTGTTGGGAGACCATCCCTTCCAATTCCAGGAGCCCCTTGCTTTCTGAGCCTGCTTCCCTCTGTGGCCAAACAACTCTTGGTTCCTGCCTATTGTAACTGGAGCTATCAGACTTGAGATGGGAGGGAAGCGAAGGGGCAAAGAGGTGAGTTTAGTGCCACTTAGAAAGTGACTTGGGAGGACTGATGGAGAGTATGCTGGTCCTGTACGGTTAAGAGGTTTCCAAAGGTTAGTTAATGCAGGGAAGGAAATACATAAAGGAAACTTGTGCACTCCCCCCTCTTTTAGCTGGAAAAACCTAGCTGTTTTGAGATGGCCTCAAATTTATTCATCTAGCAAAAAAAGATGTTTAGGCACCTGTGCTCCTAACCAAACAGTGAACAGCTAGAGAGTGGATATGGGCATTGTGCATCTTATCTCTTTATGAATCTCTTATTTGCATGCTCTAATTATAGCCAATTACTGAGTAGAGAGGCCCTTCATGCCACACAATACCCATCCTAGGCTGAGCTACATTATTAGCTGGTAGAGACTGAATAAGATCCTGGCATTCGCTGGAGAGGGTTCACCTGCTGATGGCAAGCTGTTATTACAGACTGCTCTTTGTCGACAATAAAATTATATAGGCCCCTCCTGGGAAGAGACTCAGCGTACTGAAGCTGAAATGTTTTCACTACAGCATTTTCCTGAGCTCAAGAGCTGATGTGTGACCTTCCGTTTCTAGGTGGATTATATACATCCCAGAGGCACTGTAGCCTCACAATTGAATAGATGCGGGGTTGGGGGAAGGAGGGCCAGACCTGTGGGGTTGCTGCCCCCTCTGCAGGGATGGGGATGCTCTGCCCTGCGTGTGGCTGGGTGGCTGCTCCAGGTCCCGTCTCGCCGAGCTCTGGCCCCACCACTGGTGGGAGTAGTACCCCAGACCCCGCTCCTACCTCTGGGCTCCTGGCCTGCTGGGTTGCCTCAGGCCCAATTAAATGAATCCAGTGGCGGCAGCAGTGGGATCTGGGCCCTGCAGGGGCAGGCATGAAACCTGAGTGGTGCTGTGACCCCATGTGCCAGGTCACAACATCACTCGGTCAAATTTGGCCCAGCAGCCATTCTGTCATGACAGAAGAGTGGCTGGGCCAAACCTAAGTGGCCCTTTGCAGTGCACCCAGTGCACATTCATTAATCCTGATTTTTGTGAGTTAAATTGCACCCTTGGGTTCCTGCTAGAGCTGCCCCATATCTACCCAACCTTTCACCTGCATGCTAGTGCTTAATAAGCCCACATTGTGTGTGCAATGCTGTGGATGCACCAATGGAGAGAGTGTTCTGAAATGTTGGCTCCTATTACATTGTTAGGTTCAGGCCTTTCACAAGGACAGGGTACCTCCAGCCCAGTGTAAACACATCTAAATAGAATAGCTTCAGTTCCTTCCATTGTTCATTACAGTTTAATGAGTTTTGTATTTTCCTAAAAGAGCAGAATGCTAATCCAGGCTTTCAGAAGATAATCTTGAGTTAATTCTGTGCATTTCCTATAGTTACAAGTGAAATACAATAGGGATAGATTAATCCATGAAAACGTCTAATTAGACAATCTAGCTGGATGGAGCCATGCAGAAGAATCTCCCCCGTTACTTAGTTTTGCACTGAAAACCTCTCAAATGGGAGAGTTATTTCAGATTAATTTTTAGTTTTATTTAAATTAGAGCTTAATCCTGCAGACACTTACTACTGGATACACAGTTTGCTACAGGGGATGCTGAGCACTATGCCAGGCACTGTTTGCAGGATCAGGCCTTTGTAGTCTGATTCACATCTCATTTTCACTGGCCTAAATCTAGAGTAGCTCCACTGAAATCAGTGGAGTTATACCAGTGTAATACTGATATAAGGAGAGAATCAGGCCCATATTCAGTTTAAAGCCACAGTGTGGTACATATTATTTAATTATACATTTAAATAAAAAGCTATTTGTTGTTTTTTATCCTTTTGGAAAATTTTACAAGGATAAAGCAAAAAAAAAAAAATCCTTTAAATTGTAAGGTGTTGCCTTAGCACATGATGGTCCTTTGTTTGGTTCTGTTCTTTCTGCTCAACCCAAAGCAGAGGGGCTGGTAATTCTGATTCATCTGTATGAAACTGGAAACCAGTGTTTCATTTTTAATCTGGGGAAGAGTTAGGGACTGGATGTAATGCAAGAGTCAGCACCAGTAGCTGTGCTGCTAAATGTCAGCTCACAAAATATACTGTCTTCTCAGCTAATATTACGTGAAATTTTAAATGCATGTTAGGTGAGTGTAATAACGTGCATCTCTAGTGAGGCTGACTTTGATTAGGCGTTGACAGGAAAACTGTAGTAGTTTTAGTGCTGCTTTGGAAGCCTAGAGATTGATGTACTTCATTAGGCTATACAAGGAGACTTTAAAGCAGTATTTTAAAATACCTGAAGATGTTTCACAATCAGTATGAACTGAGGAGCTGGTTAGTGCCTGTGGCTGCCATTTTAGTCACAATTCCAACAGGAAATGCAGCCTGATGGACACGTTCGGCCAGGAAGATCAGAGCTGCTCATACAGTATTTATATAGCACAGTTACAAGGCCTGATTGTATCCCCATAATCCACATGGAAGGGACCCTCGGTGCAAGTCACTCCCCCACCATGGGAAAAGAAAGGCGGCTCTGATGCCTCCATGTTAATGTTCCCCTGCCCTTTCCCCCAAGCCTCATGTATGTTGCAGGTACTGGGATTCACAAACAGGAGGGCTGGTGGGAGTAGGCAGGTTGGTAAGAGGTGGGCAGGCCCAAGGGAATCATTCTCCCCCCCCCCCGACTTGCAGAAGAAAATTAATACAACTCCAGGCTCTACTGTCCCAACTGCTGCAATTCCCCCTTTAAGGCTGTGGAAGCAGAGCCAGGGTGTTGGCCTTCATGGACACGGAGCTGATCTCCCACCGGCTGTCTGGGGTCTGCACAGGCTCTGGGAGATGGAGCTATGGCTCTATCCTCTCTGAAGGAATATGTGAAAAACCTCAACAAAAACCTTGCAGAGACTTTCTCAGGCTTAATCCCCTCACAGGTGATTGATCCCATAGTTAAGACACTTTCCTTTCTGCAAAGTGTTTAAAAGCTAAATAGGACACAGGGTAACCATTCAGAAGAGGATGCAACTATTTATAGAGCTAGTTGTAGAAAGATTAGTGACTAAACAGTTCAATTTGTGAATAGTTAAAGGAGCATTAGCTACTCACAATAAGGTTCCCAAATCTCAAAAGCTATATGATTTCATAGTAGAAATGTGTTATTTTCTGCCCTCACCTTCAATGGTGCAACTCTCTTAATCAAAGAGCAGAAACTATGCATCTCAAATGAACAGCTAATAGTCAAAAGTGAACTGCTCCAGTTACAACTCCATTGGAAAGTTTTGTCCAAACTATGCGGCAGAGGAGTCAGTCACAGGAAAAAGGACTGGTTAGTAAATGATATGCCAACCAAAAAAGCCCCCAATTTTATTGATCCAATTCATTAGAACAGGTTAAATAGTATTCACCAGAAAAAAGGAGATGTCTGAAGAGGTCGACTTTTAACTTGAGAGCATCTCTCTTCTTCTCCCTTTTCTAAATAAATCCTGTATTTTTCTGAGATTATTTTTGCTGTTTAATGTTTATATCTATGTAATGTTTGAATCCTCGCAAAGGAGCGGGTAACGCACAGGATTTACCTTTAAAGGATTTACTCACAATTCCCTAAGTCTCTGCATACAGCTCTGATCTTCCTGCCATCACAATGTCAAGATAACATGGATGCTTTCTGCATAATTAGTTCATTCAACAAAAAAAGTTTTTACATTAGATTAAGTGACAAGAGACTTTGTTCCATTAGTTTCTTTTTTTGCAATGGTGTTTTCAATTGCACAATCTCTGTGTCAAAGAAATGCTGAACGCTGACCACCTCTTCCCTCTTTCATTGCAGGCCTGCAGTGATGGACAAGAAAGTGGGTGATCTCACTACATTGAATGAAGTGGGCTATCAACTACGCATCTAACAAAGCCATAGGCCAGATGGAGGGCTTCCATGGTGCTTCTCACTGCACATTACCCTATGCTCTGTTGAAAGAAGGGGGGGGGGGGGAGAGAAACCGGGACTATTTATTAAGAACTTGTGGATTTTATTTAAAGTTTCACCTAGAAAATAGAAATTCTAGAATGATCATGGCAGTATTATTTTTTTAAATTCAAGTGACATCAATGAAAAACTAAATTATCAACAACAGGATTTCTTCCCCCCCATCAAATAGGAGGGAACCACTGTGTTTTTTTTTTAATTTAAATAATTGTTTCTAATCTAATTAATTGGCTTTGAATATTGTGCTCCATTAGTAGTATTAGGAGTGTTGCTGAAATAATATTTCTCGTTAGTGTTAACGTGCTGGGGTGCAGTCGGTTTAAACATCAAGTCAATATTAATTTTTTATTCAGCAATAAAAATAGCAGTGCAGAGGTGGATGTGACTTTTTAAAGTGTATTACCTCAGTATACAAGAGATATGCAAAATTGACAATTTTAATTTTATAACCAATTTGTACTGTTTTCCAGCATTTCTGGGAGTACTATATAACTGCATTAGATGTACCCCACCACTCTTTATTATGTGCATGCCTATGAAAAAGTGTAAGGTTTGATGCAAGTGTCTTCTTGAAAGCACTGCTGTCTTAGAAATACAAAGAACCAGTTGAGGTTTCTGTTTGGGTTTTTTTAATAACTGACCAACAATGAATTTTTAAAATTTCATAATTTTTTTAAACTTTGTCACAAGCTTTTAAACTTTGCAGACTACAGTGTTAAAGCACAAGACCTGGAGATCATTGTTTTTGTAGAGGCTAGCATTTGCATTGTATTAACAGTCAAACTGTGTGTTCAGTCTCAGACTCGCAAGGAAATGTCAGAATCCGGCTTCCTTGAGAGTTTACTTTTCTATCCATATTTGTGTGTAATTTTGAATCATTTTGTCTTTTGAAGGTTAAACAGTCTAAGGTGGTGATGCCTTTGTGTCTTATATTAAGATCAGACATCACAACTTAGTTAGGGAAGGTTCTCCTTTATATGCATTACAGTAACCTTTAAAAAGAGATTCTGGTTAGAGTAAGTGTAGCAATAATAGTTGATTTTCACATTTTTTTTCCAAGAACAAGTTTGTCTATTCCTCCTTCCTTATGGTGTCCTTTTACTGATGGATTTAACTAGCACTACGGATGTATGGCTGGCTTTTCAAACCAGCTGAGCTCCCATTTAGGGACCTAATGGAAGTAGTCAGATTTTTGAAGTGGCCAGATCTTCAAAGTGCTCAGCACCCAGGAGTTCTCATTGAACTCTGGGAGTTAGTGGGTGCTGAGTACTTGAAAGCTTAGCCATTTCATTTAGGTGCACAAATGGGAGCTGAGCTGTTCTGAAAATCTAGCCTGTACACGGTAAGCCATGCTTTTTAAAGTTTTAAAAAACAAACAAGCCAGAAACATGGGGCACTGCTGCCTTTTGTCCTTCGGATTTTCTGAGGAGCTGAGGTGGAGAGGTAAAGAAGACGACAAACATAATACTTACTAGAATCTTACTAAGGCATTTGGAACACTGTGAATGAGCCAGTGATGAAATGGATACAGAAGCAGATGGGAATGCCAACAGTAATTTGAAGAAAACATAGTCCTGCATGGGAAAGCTTTTCATACTGTGTAGTGGGCAAATACTTAGATAGCACAGGACAAGATGACGATACAAAATAAGTTAATATAGCTTCCATTAAATATAGCTTTCGGTTTAATTCCAGTTGTACATGAGACAATTCAAAAGACTCCAATATACCTCTATCATACGAGATGTATATGAATAAAGCTTTAATATTGTGAGAAGTAGGAGCCCCAGATTTTTAATAAATATTTAGCTGTTAAAGAGAAGTCAGTCCCCAAAGTTGGAGTCTGATTTTCCATGACCTTGCAGCTTGCATAGGCATTTTTATATGTGCACCGTGTAAGCATGACTACTCACTTTACACAGGTGTGAATGCAGGTGCAAGGCCATAGTCATTTTGGTGGGGCAGAGAGGGGTGAATTTTATTATAAAGTAAAAGTACTAAGGCAGTTGATTTACTGTAATGTCAGATGGAAAAATTTCCCAAGCAAGCTATTGCATAAACACTGAATAATGTACTGATCTGTTGTCTGGCCTCTCTTATGCCTGGAGGAAGAGAACATGACTTTTTATAAAAAGTCGTGGCGTTTTTGCAATACACAATCGTGCAATAAGCTACAAAATGACTAGAGACTAAATTAAGGCCCCAGTCTGGCAATCAGCCCTGGCACGTCCTGCTGCAATTGAACAGGGCTCCACTGAAATTGGCTGGGTTTGTTGCAGATCTGTTTGGAGCTCATTGCAAGATTGAGGCTATGTATTTCCCCACTTTTTTTAGTCTCCCCCCCACCCCCCACCCCCAATACCAAACAGACAAAAAACAGCTGGTAATTTCTTTTCCTAATTCACATTTCATTTTGGTTACTCAAACCGATTCCCCCTCTGTCTGAAGAACAGCACCGGTGATGATGACCTGACTGAATTTAGAGGATTTCCTTTTCTTGAGTTCTGGAGCGGGTTCCTTGCGGTGAAACATAAGGCTTCATTACAGCCCACAACCTTTTTGTTTTGTGTATTTATCACGTCTTATTTGCTTTAAAATAGGTTTTGAATAGGATGGGGTTTTTGGGGGGAGGGAGAAGGTTAAGTGCGGGGGTAAAGAATGGGAAAAATCATGGTTTGTATTAGTGTAAAATTTAAGCCATTATGATTATCAATAGAATTTCAGTTCTAAAATAATATGTACTGCTCAGTGTTTGTGACCTTGTAAGCATAAGCCAACTGTTAGCTTACATAACAGGTTCCTCATTAATGAAGTGATAAGGAAAATAAGGTTTAGTTAAGCAACAGAAGCCTTGATTTTAACTGCACTTTGGTGCCATTAGAATATACTTGATTTTGAAAAAAAATGTTTTTCTACAGTACCCTGCCTATTTTGCATTTCTTCCAACTTGATGATGCGGTTTTACCGGCATCCAGAGTATTTTGGGTTACATGGTTTATCTGAACGTCTAACTTACTACACCGAAGCTTTTCTAAGCTATAAAGCTGTGACAAATTATTTTGTACCTTGTTTGTTTTGAAGTACAAGTGAATTTTATTCATTCTCTTTAAATTTGCTCTTGCACTTGCATTTTTGTCTTACCTTTAAAACTGATTCCAACTGCCTGTTTTTCTAGCTCATTGCAAACTTGTCAAATGGTATTCTAGAAGAATACATGTGCATGGCTCCAGGTCTTGCTTTTCTCATCACTTGTATGTTTATGTGCAGCATGGAACTTTAATAAAATGTCTTGGTCTTTTTTTTAATAGCCTAGTATCATTTTTGGAATGTGTATTAATGTACAGGTAGTAGTAGTATGAATTAAATTATATAGTCATTGTGGGGAAAGTGTTTTTAAAGCAGTCACTCTTTGATTCAGTCATTGTAGGCTAGTAACACCAGAATGGAGGAGGG